CAAAAAAAAAAAAAAAACACACCAAAAAAACCAACAAAACCAAACCTGTGGGTACACGCTTTAGAAACTAGATCTAGATCTATTATTAGATCTACGTACCTCCACATTGATCATGATGAATTCGTTGCTCAGTTTCTCAATGTCTCGGCTGTTTGCAAACCGTGGTCTCAGGGCTATAGAAAGACAGCAAAACATTCGCTCTTTTATTTCACTATTTCCAAACAATTTGTTCGCTTAGAAAGTATAATTTAAAAGGAAACAGAAAAATACTACAGCACAAGATTCTTGTTACTGAGAGCGTATAGATCTAGATTAGGTATAAAAGATAAAACTAAGTTTGAAGTTTGAACAATGTATCGTCCTGCGAAACATTATGACTTGCAACCGTTTAAGAATCACACCAAGCATGGTATGTCATGCAGAATTTCCATCTAATCCTCTATAGCATTGCCGGTTTACAGAAACACGCGGGAAACTTCTAAAGTCTGAGACATTCTTTCACAGTTTATGTTATTATACATATACCCAAATACCTGGAGTTACCTGCACTACAAGGGCCCAAATCCCTGCCCGGTTCGTCCTTTATAAGACAGGGTCAGGGTTTAGTCCGTTCCCAACCATGTTGTGGTCTAGCCCCTGCTAGTGTCTTATTGACATTGACGTTGACATTGACGATTTAGTTGTTTGAGGCTCTAAGTAGAGCCTGTTCAACTATCTGGTAATGAACGACAATAATGCATGGCGTTCAGGCTAGACAAATCAGTTTTGGCAGGCGGGGTTGTAAATAGTTGGGAGATCTTTCCAGTATTCGTCCAGACGTCTCTTAAATGTGTCCACGTTTGGAGCTGACACCACTGATCCGGGAAGATTGTTCCAAATAGTATTAACCCTATTCTCAATAAAGTTTGCCCTCACACACAATCTGCTTCTTTGCTTCTGGAGCTTCTCTGAGTTGCCACGGAGTTGTGTGGTTGTTGCCTTTGTAAATGCTGGTCCTTCAGTGATGCAGTAGCCTTTGATATACATGCACGTTTCTATCATATCACCACGCAACCTACGATGTTCCAGGGATGGAAGCTTTAGTTTTTTCAGTCTTTCAGAATAAGGCTTTTCTTTGAGGTGACTCAGCATTTTGGTAGCCCGCCTTTGAACTTGTTCGATTTCACTACATAGTCCTTTTTCAAAGGGTTGCCAAACACAGTGTGCATACTTTAATAAAGGCCTCACCAAAATCTTGTACAGCAAAACAAACATATCCTCTGATAGGTAGTCAAATGATCGCCTAATAAGTCCAACAATACGGTTCGCTTTTGATGTCATCTGGGCTACGTGCTCCTTGAAGGTTAGTTTATTATCGACAACAACTCCCAAGTCTTTCTCTCTCTTTTTTACATTCAGTTTGTGTCTTGAGGTGCTACCATCCACTACTTGGCCCATAAAGCATTCGTTATCATTGTCTTTGCCAACTTTTAGGACACAACACTTTTGCGGGTGAAAACGAAGTAACCATCGTTGAGACCATTCTTGGAGGGTATCCAAATCATCCTGTAAATCTTGCGGTCCATTTACGGTGTCACTTCTAACGTAGAGCTTTGTGTCATCAGTGAACATTTTGGCCGTCGTTTTAAGTCCTCTGGGGGAAGATCGTTGATGTAAATTACAAACAAAAGGAGGCCTAGAACTGATCCTTGCGGGATGTCAGACAGTAAAGTTTAGAGGTCCAACTTTTCACTTAAACCTAATTGTTTTTGTTTGGTTAGCGTAGTGAAAAGTGGCCTACATTGTCTCGTTAACGGTCATTGAACCCTGGGAAAGGCAAAACTGATTAAAAATAAAAGGTAGACTAGATATATACTGGAGCAGAATAACACGAGTAGGACGTACCAGTGGCACCTTCCAACCACCCGTAATTTGTGTTCTTTGTGGAGGGATCATCGCAGAGTTTTTCCAACCCTAGTAAAGCATTCAGAGTGGCACACTTGAGGTTAAAAAATGTGTTCCCCCCCAACCTCCCTCGTGCCTCCGATAGTCCCCAGACCCCACATGTTGTAGTCATACGCAGGAGAACCAAATGTTGTCGGTGTCTGAGTGTGTGAGACAGAGGCCAGGGGGAGAAGAGGCAAGGGCTCTTTGATAGATCTAGAATCTAGGAAAACATTCGGAGTGTGGGACAGACGTAACCAAAAAAAAAACAAAAAAAAAGTTTGCAGGAAATTATTAATCTAGAGATCTAGATCTAGACTAATGTAGAAATTTTAATATTCTAAAGTAAATATGCTGTGATGATATATTAGAGCATGCTTCGACTTGTGAGTGGTTGGCGAGTGCTCTGGTATGGTTTGCTTGCGCCTTCTTTCCTATGAAATATTCATTGTCCTTTTCGATCCTCCCACGTTTCTTTGTATCTTACTCCCTCTAGTAAGACCTCCAATCTATGATGCTTACAATATGAGCGAATCATCAGTTGCTGCACTTGCGTAAATCTCTGACCAGATCTAAATCTACTGATCTACAAAAAAATCACCGACTCACCCCTGCACGCCCGGCACCAGGTCTTGTGGATGACAACCATCGCTGGCTTGTTCCTGGATGATACAGACAGTTTTGTATTAGAGGAAAGTCAAGCACAGCCTCGCAATAAAAGGCCACTTAGATCTAGGTCTAGATATAGACTCTATACGATCTAGCCTATCAGTTTGTAATCTTTTTACCAAAATCTTGTCGCAAACGTTCGGGGCGAAGTTTTGGGCAAGAAGGTGACATACTAGATCTAGATCTAGATTCTAGATCTAAAACTAAAGATCCAGCAACAGGCCTTGGCGAAGTGGCGAAGGCAGACACAGATGTAGCACGTTAGAAGAAGTGGTTACTCACTGTTCTCGGGCCAGTCTCTGTCCTTCTTTCATTGAGACCCACTGAATATTGCGACCCCAGCCTGAGAGAAAAATAAGATAGACATTAACATCAGTGATAAATGTACAGCTTATAATTGTCAACCTATTGATACATTGGTTCATGTTTCCAAAGGATTTAAACTACAAATCGCTGCAGAATTCTGTAGAATAGATATGAACGAAATGCTTGGTCATAATACATGTCATGTACTGGAGGCGAAGGTATCGTAATCTACATTGCAAAGACTGGGCTGAAGACCTCCACTTTTCCCCGACAAGACATTTAGAATTTAGATCTAGAGAGTCTAGAGCTTCAGCGGGCAGACGAGCAACACGACGGTTACATTTATCGGGAGGAATAGAATCCAATAGCAGCAGCAGAAGAAGAAGAAGAAGAAGAAGAAGAAGAAGAAGAAGAAGAAGAAGAAGAAGAAGAAGAAGAAGAAGAAGAAGAAGAAGAAGAAACATGGATAGAGTCTAGAATCTAGATCTAGATCTAGATATCTAGATCTAGAATCTAGATCTAGATCTAGATATCTAGATCTAGATCTAGATCTAGATCTAGACAAACAACGGGAAATAGATATAAGTCTAGATAGATTCTATCTACATCTAGATAGATCTAGAAAAATCTAGCAATGACAGCCGCTAGAATGTGGTGTCTGCACCATCCTTGAATGCTTTCAAGAATAGGATTGACATGGTCTGGAAGGCACATAAATTCTCCATGAACCTAGATTCTAGATTGGTTTCAAACTGCCTGATCCATGAGCCATGAGCACCAACCTACAGATAACAGGAGTGTGAATTTTTCAGTGTGAAAACAACGAGCAGAAAGGAACAAGCAATGAAAGCAACGAACGGCTGATATGCGACTAGCCTGACCACAGCCGTACTTCAAACTAACTAACTACATCTAGACTTCTAGATCTAGAGATCTAGTCTACAGTGGGAACGAACTCAAGGGGCTTGGGAGTGCTAGATCTAGATTCTACACCTTCTCCTCCCCTAGATGTAGGATAGATTCTAGTCTAGACCAGACCATTATTTATTAGAGCACGAACTTCTTGATCTAATCTAGATTCTAGAATCTAGATTCTAGATCTTCAAATCTATCAGAAATCCAAGAAACAAACATTTGTCCCTCTCACCTCTGGCGTACTCGGTGGCTGCAGACAGCGATCCGAACACCAAGTTTGCAGCTTGCGTCAAATATGATGCCATGTTGTTAGTGGTCAGGCGTTTGAAGAGTTGATGTGCGCAGAGAGACGGAGAGACAGAGGGAGGTAGGTCTATTGGCAGCACAGTCGGGCTGGACACTGGTCAAGTGCACTGTTCCAGGAACCTGCAACTGACGTGGTGGGGCCTCAGTCCTGTCTGTGAGCTGACCTGTGGTGGATGGGATGCGTGGGGGCACCCTTCTTGGTGCTGCCTTCTTTGGTGGAAAGGTTTCAGCAGAATGCGACGGTTGCTTAGTTACGGGCATAGGAACGTGACGTCATGGGTTTCTGCCGTGAATGATGTAACAAGGCTCATTGTTTATGAAGAACGTTTGCCTGTGAGAGTATGGAAAAAGTGAATGCTTAACAAAAATTCTTTTGCTTTCTTTTCTTTTCTCCCCCCCCCCCCCCCCACCCAATCTTTGGGCGGTTGATCAAGTTGTCATATGGCATGGTGATCGTCCTGTGTGCTAATTGTTTAACATAAAACCTTTTTTTGTTGTAAATTTTCACTACTTTCTTGTCTCGAGTTTAGAACATAATTTTATTCCATATTTATAACTTATTCAGTTGATTTATTTATATATCTATAGAGTATTTAAATTTCCCATTATTTCGTGGTTTCATTTATTTATTATTTATTTATTTTTCTTTCTATTTTCTGGGGGATTGGGGGAGGGGATGGGGTGGGACTCTGATGTCGTTTTCAAGATTTCACAAGGTAAAATCTTTCCACCGATAGTCCGGATACTGGGCTGTGTTATAATGTCCAAACTCCGGTATTTATCTCCGCCGAGATAACATCAAATAAGAACTGATTACAACTGATCACAACAAATAACAACCAAATTACGACAAATGTCAACGCGAACTTGCTAATTTAGTTTCCTTTACTTGATGTGTAGCCTAAGGTAGTCTACATCGGTATTTATCTTTGTCGAGATAACAACAAGTAACAACTATAACCAAACAATAACAACTGGAGAGTTCAAAATAACGACAAATATCGACAGAAACGTCCTGATTACGTTGCTTTTACATGGCGTATAAGTCTAAGGTAGTCTACATTGTGATACAACAACTGATAACAACTGATAACAACAAATAACAACTGATAACAACAAAATAACGACACATATCAACACTAAGGTGCTCAATAAAGGTGATCAATCCGATACAACTTTTTAATATTTTCATTGACACTCAAACTGTATGACAGGACTACAAATGGTGATGACATGATTACACTCAACAGGATCTAGCCTACCGGTACTGATCTAGGCTATACAATCGTACATGGAATTTATATTTTTAATCAATTAATCAATTAAATTTTAATGTCTCAAAATGTCATGGCATGCACGTTAGTGAGAAAAAAAAGACGTGAAGAGACAGGATTACGTCTTTTTTCCCCCGATAACTTGTTACTTTCGATTTTAATTTTTAAAAAGGGACAAAACCCCGGTCATCGCTAAATAATGTTCTACTTCTTTGGAAGTTGCTCGCTGTTGTGCATGTAAAGTAGGCACCTGTCCGACCACATGAATATATTGATTTTTGAGTCTGGAATCAAAGCATTTTTGTATTATCAGTTGTTATTTGTTGTTATCTGTTGTTATCAGCTGTTATCTCGACAAAGATAAATACCCTCCTGACTCCGGTCAGCCGGGAGCACGATCTGACTCTTGCTGTGACCTTCCTTCAAACTGCACCAAAGCTCACAAGAAACCATGTCGTCCTATTGTGTACTTCAAAGGGGGCGGGCAGGACGGCGAGCCAAGCAGAGATTCACGACAACCGGCCTACAACATTGCCAGTGGTTGGGGAGGGCCATAATAGTCGTTTAATCACCCCCCCACCCACTTGCCACCCTGTGGATCCACCTCCCAATTGTGTCTTTTTCTTTCCTAGCACTGGCTGGCCGTTAGTGCGTCCATATCCTTTCCTAGCCCTGGATGGCCGTTAACGCGTCCATATCCTTTCCTAGCACTGGATGGCCGTTAGCGTGTCCATATCCTTTCCTAGCACTGGATGGCCGTTAGCGTGTCCATATCCTTTTCAGGATAGGCTTTCAGGGCCATGTAAACGGGATCATACAGAGAGAGCTGTCAGGCATCCAGCATGCGCAGGGAGAGGAAAGCCATCACAGATTCAGAAGCCCTTAAAGTATCAGTCTGCCATCCGCGTCACCGACTCGATGAGTACCCTCGAAATTCTGAAGAAACACATAATGAATGCAAACTGGTGAGAGGCAATATAAAGTAGCAGACTCTCAAGGATTGTGTATGGAACTTTAGCCCTGGTCATGCAGGAGTTCAAGGCAATGAACGTGCTGATAAGCCACCTGGCCAGGCTGAGATTGGCAGCACCATGCAATTAGATCCACCAAAGGTCATGGCAGCATTGACTGCATGGTCCGACGACCACAGAGAGGATGAAGGCACCACAATGGATAGATTATGGGAAGCTAAGCTGGTGTCTCTAGAGGGTCGGGGAGAGCTGGCAACCTGCGTGGAAAAGCCGGAAGAATATCCAACCGGCTGATACTTTAGTGATACTGATAACTCATGATCAGCAGGCAGACCCTTTCATGGATCCTGAAGAGGAGGGAGGAGCAGCTATGGCATTGTGCCGCCTGCAATGGTACCTATTGTCCAAGCAAGTAAGTAAGTCCTGGCATTGGATGGCCGTTTGCGTTTCCATAATATTCTTTTTGTACACAAAAATTAAACACAACGCTGCATGGTCTGATGGATTACATCCAAGCCGAAAAATGGAGAAAAAAAAGACCAAAAACTCTTTCCGCGTTAGAATGGAACTCAAATTATTGCGCCTGCCTGTTGCATGAAGAAGCAACACACGCCGTTGTCAGAACCTTGGAGGAACTATTAATATAGTTACTCCAAGGTCAGAACCGTCTTTCTTCCTTCCCTCCCCTTTCTTCCCCTATCCTCCTTCTCTGCAGTCTCCCCCATCGCCCCGCTCTCTCTCTCTCTCTCTCTCTCTCTCTCTCTC